TGCAGCCCTTTCTGAATGAATGCTATAAAGCAAACCCTATTCAGAAGTAGTATCTCTCCATTTTACTCCACGAAAAAAAGAAAGCGATGACTCCTCTTCTTTTCATCTGGTTGTCGCAGAATGCTGTTGCGATAGGTGGCAATTGCTTCACGCAAATTCTGAAGTAGAATTAGGTCAAATATAAAGTGAGGCATTTTATGCTGAAATGTGAAATCAACACTACAAAATCATAGAAAAGGAAATCGTAGCATCAAAGTACACATAACCAGCTTAGTAACACAGGATTAGAGTCATTGAATATTAGGTACCTGCATTGAGGCACACTTATCGATAACTTTGTCCACTTGTCTTTCCCTCAACACCACCCTAAAAAGCACATGCTCTCATTAGGCCTAATAAAACTTATGCTACATCTTCTTAAAGAAACACAAAGTTGATACCATACCTCTAATACACGAATCACGTCTTATGACTGCATATTCTCCCCCGCGAACTGTGTCCTCTGAGTCAGGTAAATGATCAGCCACATTAGTGGCATACTGAGAAATCTGACCGACAGAATCGCTCCTCGGAATACCTAAAAATCATGTATTATGATAATATTAAAAAGGAATTTCAATAGTTACCCCCAGGATCAAACTAAACAAAATGTAACAAGACTACATTAAAATTAGTAAGTCAAACTTTAGTCGCAAACAATGCCCTTCCAAACGCTTATAGCAAGGACTTTCAGTACAGTAATCCCAAATTTATATACAAAGAAAGTGTCCTACAAGCGCATGCATGTCTTGTATTATAAGAGAGGTGAATTATTATAAGAACAGAAAGAAGCTAGTAATAGTACATGGATCAAGTATAAATAGAAAACATGACGACAAATGAATGCAAATAAATAATTTAGGTCAGCATCTTCGACATGATGGCATTGAGCTTCTCTCCATCACAGAATAGGTCAATACTCTTAGGTTATTTGTTAGACTCATTCTTCCATCCATATCCATACTATTATACACTCAAACAACTTCATGGTCATGGGCTAGATTTTGGTCCCGAAGCCTAGCAATGATATGAACAAAAATGAAACCTTTAGGGACCTAGAATGGTGTATTTCCCCCAAAAAAAAAATCATAAAAATTGACAGGGGCAAGGAAAAAGATTACCTGAGGCTCCAATTCGGTTGAGGTAAATTAGAGTAGCAATGACCATTCCTGTTGTAGTTCGTCCCGGCCCATTTGACAATTAAAAATGATTTCTGTATTTACATCAGCTTGAGAGATTTTATGGACCTAAATCACAATGAAGAATGGCTGAGTGATAACATAGGTTTCAGGAAATTATGAGTGAAATTTTTTTGGCTAATAACTGTTATTCCAAATTAAAGATTCTAGGCATCTAAGCAATTTTCAACAGAAGCTCTTAGCTCTTAGACAAGACAATAAAGAAGAAAATTTGACCACTCAACACTTTTGTACATAAAAATATATTTCCAGAAGGCATTACACTTCGTATACAATGACAGATAAAGTCAAAGCAGGATCACTGATAACTGCCTTGTTCACAAACTTATGCAAAGGTTTTCGCTGAAACAAATAGTTAAAGCTCACCAAAAAGTCAAAATCCAGCTCTTTTGGTGATTTTTCGTCAGTTATAGGAACACGTTCATAATCAACATGGTATCCCTCTGCTTGCAATTCCTCATACACCTACAGCAAATAAACAACTCTGATGCATGTTTTTCAGAAAATTTATGGACTAGCCTCACCCTATCGTCAACAATGTTTTGCTTTACCTCTAGGGGCGGTTTCACTGAATTACACGATACTTGTTCCCACTGGTCCACCATCTGGCCATCTGGCAGTTCATCAGTCACAAGGATCTTATTTCCATATCTGTTATGTCAATGCGCAAATAAGATTGGTTATCATGCACGATAGGACTATAAAAAAAATAAAGAGAACTATTAGCTGCATTTGATAGATTAGATGGAACAAAAAAGTACCTTCTTGCTTCGACTAGGATATCTTCTTTCAAACGAGCTTCCATTTGTTCAACCCTTTCCCTGTTTATTCCCTGATTAAGTACAAGATCACACAACAGTAAAAAGATAAGATGCATTAGCTATAAATTAGAGTTCTTAGTTCAACTCGAAAGTTAATTACACAATAAGCATACCGTATACTCAAGGTTAGAAAATGGCCTTTCCACATCACGCAAAACAAAGGGTCGCCCATTAATGTACACAACCTGATTTCAACAAGAATGAAGAGGAAGTTTTAAAAAAGATAGTTTGGAAAATATCACAAGAACAATAGTCATCAGGAGTTAAAATAAAATTTTAGAGTGTAAAGTGTCAGCCAGAAAGTGGATTCCAGAGCGTCATGTATAGTGGTTATCACTTAGAAAATTTCACAACGTTTCCATTATTCCATAGGTTGACACAGAAATCAAGGAATGTAGCCTGTATATTTTTGAGACACGAATTTAGCTGAAATTCTCCGAATGACAGGGAAGAGAACAAAAGGTTTCCATAGCTTCATTGGTAGAAAAAATTGGATATTCACAGGACCAACTGGAGCATGAGTCCTAAGGCATATTTGGAAGCTAAGGAACCGATATATCTACAAGAAAACAAGCATACCGGTTCTTCACGAAGGTTAATCCAAAGAACTTGCACCCTCTTCCCTTCTTTTTGAGCACCAATATGGTTCAGAACATTTCGGATTCCATCAAATGTTGGGATTGCAACCCCGTGAACATGTAATGAGTCAGCCTGACAACAGTAATCAACAAAAACGAAAACATTAAACATGAAAAAAGGCAAGGAATCGCGAGCCAGTAAAAAAAATATGGCATGAACCAGAAAGTTATAGGTTGAGCAGCGTTAATATCTAATGCAAGAGTATGGGGCTTTTTTCAGTTCGGAAGCCAAGAGGATGCTGTAAACCCCAGTTATAGCGCCGTTCAAAATCGGACACAAGATATGCTCAAAAGGTCGAAGAAAAGTAGAAGACTAAGTTTCGAAAAAGCCAAAAGCAGGGGAGATAGAGTGGCTAATTAATTTTCAAATACATAACCACATGTAGAATTACAGACCCGAGTATTTAAAATATTAACCCAATGGTGCGTTAGACATCATTGAGCGATGACTCCAGTTGAAACCAGTCCATAAAGCTAACAAGCACCAAGGAAATAAGAAGAAAGAAAGAAAGAGAACAAATATTAAGACCTGACGATAATTGGAGCGCCTTCAATCTGAGGAGACAAGCGTTTGTTCTGGCAACCAGGGAAATGGTCGCTTTTCAGAATGGTCTTCTTTCCCAGCACCGATCCTCCCCTCAACTTCATCACTTGTTCCGGCACCTTCGCTATCGACATCTTTTACCTTTATAGAATTCCTGCTACTCCTGACTGTGCCAGTATCACTCACGTAAACACAACACCATATCGCAAACAGGAGGTCCTATATTTACTGAATTTCGAGTTCTCTCTATTCTCAGCAATTCACCTTCGTCTGTGACCCATGATATTCACAAGTTCGAAAGAGCCAAAATGCAGCATGCGAGGAGAAATAATCAATTGCAGGACAGAAGAACGAAGGATTATACGAGTTATGGTTGTGATGTTCGCTGAAGAAACGTGAGGAGGTAGATAGAAAGTCCAACAAACAGGCAAAGACGACTTCTTGTCACTTCATTCTGACGCTAGAGGGTCATCAGCTGTCCAGTTCCCACAATTTTAGAATAATTTCAGGATAACTCCCTTCTTCTGCCTGAAAGGAGTTTCTGCAAAAACTCAGACTCCTGACGCTTATTTCCCAGACGACAGGAACAAGGAAAAACAACTTTCCTTCCTCTATATATTCTCCTCCCTCAAAAAATGAACGGGAATGCGAATCTTTAATACGAGTATCATTATAAAAATGAGTTAAGACAAGTTTTTTTAATTAGATAGCCCTAAATTCGGAGGGGGCATGCTGTGAATATTCTTCTAGCCAGTAGGGGACCTCTGTGGGAAAGATGCCCAAGCCCCCATCAACAGTCGCCACCTACCCTTGGGTGAGAGGGGGATTATCCTCTTTATACGGTTCTGTCCCAAACATAATGCTGACCACAGAAAGGAGATGGCAATAATCTCCGAGTAACAGGATTTCCTCCGTTCCTCGTAGAGGAGTAGACTGCGTGGACTGAAGAACGCGGAAACAAACAAAACAAAAAAAGGAGAGGAAAAACAAACGTGCAAGATATGACAATCGGATTAGCGAATCTGGGAACTGAGAAGGTTGACGGGGCACTTTCTGGGGCCCACCTCAAGGTCAATGTGGCGTTGTGAGATAGCAGTAAAAAATTTAGGGGAAAAAAATTTATAAATCTTCAAATTGACGGTTAATTTCACAAACTAGCACTACTTATGACCAAAAGTCAGGCCAAAAAATAGTTGACCAAAAGAAAAAAAAATCATAAAAATCTACTCCTCCGGTCCTAATTATAAGACCCAATTGACTTATTTGAGGAGATTAAGGAAGTAAGTTAAATTGGTTTATTATAATAAATAAGTGTTGTTATTCTTAAAATATCCTTGCTAATTAGTAATATTGGCTAAAACTATCATTATTAGAAGGATTATCTTGAAAAAAATGCATAAATATAAGAGAGAAAATGGATTGGGTCTTATAATTAGGACCAAATAAAATTAAATGGGTCCTATAATAAGGACCGAGGAGTATTATGCTAATTACTAACAGTAATCAACACCTAACATTGCATTATTATAAACCCAGTGATTGACGAACTTAAGAAAACGAGAAAGATTTATAAAATAACATGTGAGAGGCATGGTGATGGCTGATGGGGCCAAGTACTTGTAGCTTCTTTTTCCCCCTAAAATATTATTTTTTTTACATCTTTTATTCGATTGAAAAACAAGATAAAGCATGTTTTGGCGACGCCCTTTTTTGCCTGAAAATGTTGAATTACATAGTGAAAAAAGTGCAGTCGTTTGTTCGCTTCTCATTAGCTAGGCGATAACAAAATTTTTTTATCAAAATATTTTGATAGCCATATCTATTTATATTTTGCGTGATCATCTGATTTTATGGAGAGTTTTTATTCATCACCAATCATTATTGTTTCGTGTTCGCTTTTCTTTCTTGGTTAGTTTGTTTCAAACCCTTGTCCCATTACGGATTCACATTTTGATTTAGACTAGCGAAACCGTTACTTCCTTTTTATTTCTGGGAGGGGCAGAGGCGGCGGCCCCCGGGGTTTCAAGAATTTTACAACTACTTTCCTAATCATTATGAGCGCATCCCTAGACACATCTCGTGCTGTATACATTTGATTAAAATATCACATATTAATTTTATTAAATTCGAGAAATATTAAATGATTACTAGTCCTTTTCATTGCATTAAAAAAAAGTCCTTTCATCTCGTTTTATTAGAAAAAATTAATACTAGTAGAAATGTAATAAAACGACACTTCGTCTTTTTTTATCCATGTTGTCAAAAAATCACAAGCAAGAATCCAGCCTTCACTTCACTTTCTTTCCTTCCTGACGCTCCACGCCACGCCATTAAACATTCATAACCGGACAGACTTCTAAAAATATCAAGCATCGCATTTTCAATTTCTATCACATCATCATAATGATCACAAGTAAACTAAAAACGGAACAAGAATGATGCAGTGAAAGTAATCCTACGCTAATCAGAGTTCGCTCATTCTTGTAGTATTGCAACGTCACTGTGTCATGTTTAATTGGCACACAACATTTATGTGATAAAATAATAACGATAAGTAGTGAACATCTACATTCAGAATGAAACGACCGCATCGTCGTCGTCCACATCAACCACCTCCAACACAAGATTTTTAGTGGAAGGCAAACCGGCGACAACTTCTTCTTCAATACCACACTCGTTTGTGCCTCGCCTGATCTGAAGTAACCATCCTAACGGTTCAAAATAAATTAGGCCATTAGTGAAGGATTGTATTTGACTACGTGAAATTCAAATCGAAGGGTGACCAAAATACTTCACTTACATCGCCCCAACTTCTATTCCACTGGTTCGCGAGAAGCTGAAAGAGAGGAAAGTGAACCGTGAATACGGAAGTTACAGACAATATATGATGAAGCAGGAGTTAAAGGCCAACAATAATGGACAAGTACCGTACGTACCCAATAATCCTCTCCATCATCAGTGGTTCCCCACCCAATTAGCTTTACAGCATGACCTCCCATCACGTAACCTGTGACGTGTTTATACTCCTGACTTGTAGTGAGCAAAATCCTGAGATAACATATGGCCGAACAAGGGAAGATGATCATTAATTCATAAATTAAAAATAAAAAGGCCAACATTTTTGTTTCTAACTGAAAGTTCAATGGAAAGCAGGAATGAGAGGCTCTCCCAAGGAACTTAACCAGGCATAATGCATACATTAGTCAGTCTATATAATGCATATATGATGGGGACGGAAACTCATCCAGAAAGGATAACGCATGACATAAAGAGACCAAGTGATAAAATCACAAACTGACGCCAGCTTTCATGCCTTCTCCACTAATCCAACGACTTATAGATTCAGCTGCAGTTGCTTAAGTGTTGAGTTGTGAACCTCGGAGCACATAGCAAGACCAGTTTGCATTGTAAAACCGTTTTTAATCTAGAAGTGTTGGATTCTTGGCCAAAATACCAGCAGATCATTTCGATGCATATTGTATAACTACATGTATTTTATTATTGTCGCCTGCGCTCCGACATATAATGACTCCTCTGCAGTAGAGAACTAAATTTAGTAGCAAGAAAATCTGCAGCAGCAGCAAGCCTCTATCTGCACAATTTTTTTTTCTTTTTTGGGTAAACATCTATCTGCATAATGCTAGCGTCAAAGACAACAAGGGCCGCACCATCCACGTATTTGCAGGTTTAAAGAGCCAGCCCAAGTAACAACCAAAAAAAAGAAGCACTGGGGAAAAACTCCGTGACAAGGGGGAAAAACACACAAGGAAAAAAACCCAGCCCAAATGGAAGGAATCGATCAAAAGCACAAAGGAGCATAATATAGACCAAAAATGTGTGAAGAAGAGAACAGAAGGGAAGAACAATTCTTTTCAGGACAGCAGACTCAAGATTAAAAGCCACCGCCCCAAACACTCTGAATAGCATTATGAAGTGACCTAAGGGGGAAGTGAGCAATACCCACTTGAGCTTATAAAGCAAGAAGAAGCACAGTTGAATTTGCCCAAAAACACACCAATTGAATTATCCCTTCATTTGCTTTAACTAATCCCTAATTAAGCTTTTCACCCTTAAACAATCCGCAGTCATCACATCTTCAACATTCACACTGCTACCCTAAAATGAACATCCTCATTTCATAACCCATGGTTTCTAGTATACAATAAAAGTGCCTGCACAATATGATTCTTGCTCTTATCATCCCAGCCTCTCATATATGACAAGGCAAGGCACTTCAACATAACCAATGTAATAAAACCCCTCCTTCAATTCAACAATATATTAAGTTGACATATTTGAAATCGTTAGCCTGTGCCTGAATAATGCTTCCTCTAAAGCCAGAAAGTTTTTTTTTTTTCCAGTTTTCCTCTACAGCTGTACCAAACAGTTCTTCATTTGCATCTCTTAATGATACATCATATACAGGGATTGAGGTGAATACATTTTTCATGTAAGACTCAATACAATTTGATATTCTTATCGTGTGCTTTCTCCAAATCTCCACTCTTTCTCCCTTTGATTCCATTGAAGCTATACATAGCTGCTCTCTAGGCCAAATTTCTTTCTTA